AGTAGTTGTCACCCTAACGCATAAGGACCAAGGACAAGAAAATAGGGACATGTTCAGTTCAATTTCCTCCCAAACATTAGTTCCACGGTTGACTCCATGAACTGAACCATGCATGCCAGGAGCGACTGTTAAGCCCACTATGTAAGTATCTATGATTTCCCCAGATTCTTCTGCTCCTCCCCCTTTGTAACCCTCTTGGAATGTACGTCACCACACTCTTTACCCACGCCCTAAAGAGCTGGTCCTGGCCATGAGTGTCCAGGGTCCTGTAAGAACCGACACTTTGCCTCCCTCTTATTCCCATAGCCACTCTCCGACCCCTCCCAGGATGCTTCTGAAAGCCCCTCCCTGCCCTGTCTCCCACTCTTACCTCCCGGCTGGTCACTGAACAGTTCTTTTCTTTCTGTTTACATTGTAACTTGAAACACAAACTCTTTCTTTTGACCAGAAATTCCAACATTTTAAGCCAAATATCAGAGAAGCTACTAAAAAAATAAGCCCTTCACTTACTTATACTCCTTAAGTAACAAAATGCAAGTGCAGCACATCTTTTTTTTTTTAGTGGCTTTCTCACCCGCTCTCTGGAAACTGCTCTCCTCATATAAAATGATAGCCATACCCCCAGACCGCAGCCACCAACCCTCTCTTTGGTCGATTTGCACACAATAAAAATGCCAGGTGGTACCAAAAAATTTACCCCTCCCCAAAGAAAGCACCCATCATTAAGAAAGGGATGTTGTCAAGAAATAGCTGTTTTATTTAACAGCTATTCATTTTTATTGAATAAACATTTTCTGGTATGCATTCTGTTAATTGACCTGCCAGCATATGCTGTATATGGAGAAACTTCTAAACATTATGTTCTATGTAATATGCTTATCTGAAAAAGCTCTCATTTGCAGCAATATGGAAATAAAATCCTGCTTTCAAAAATTCAAGACTTTTCAAATGCATTAATCCACACAGTTTATGAAATTGCTCTGGACATTTTAAAATCCTTCCTTTAAGGAGGGAGAAAAAAAAAACATTAACAATCAATAATAGTATCTGTTGCTGCGTTTCATAATGGAGTAGACATTCTCCAACACAGGAACTCAGAGACACACAAATGGGGGCAGGCATAATAGGAAGGAAAAAGCAGTTATGATATAGGGTAAAGACCTACTCAAGGGCTGCAAGAGAATGCTCAGAAATGCTATCAAATTACATTATTAGAAAACCATTGTAATAGTTCCAGAGCCTGGATATAAATAGAGCTGAAACATTATCGAGACAATATGCTTTGTTTTGAGGAGAGAAGACAAGGCACTTGTGTGGGCGGGCTCTTCCAGCTCATGGCCGCACCTCTCCTTGGCTGGTGACTTCTGGAGGATGATGCATCTTCCAGCCTAGCATCCCTAGCTGCTATGCCTAGAGGGCAGGGGTAATACTTTGCTGGGTGGAGCCATGGTGAACCACAAGGCTACAGGGCTCCCTGTCTTTCTTCAGCAGCGATTCATCTCCCGACAGTCGCTGCCCTTGTGGGATGGTCGCCCAAGGTTGCCAGACGTTCTGATTTTTCAAGAGAGATGGAAAAGCGAAGTCCTCCCATTTCTCCAGGCTGTCAACTAGGTAATTCTTTAAAACAAATTCTGTTTGAAACTCAACTTAGGCAACCAATGCAATCACTATGGTAGTGGTTCTTTGTGAGAGCTGAAGTTTCTGAAAAGGGCACTTGCTGTCATTTGCAGTCACGATTGGCAAGAAGGAGCCCAACACAGAGCTCACTTGGCGCCCACCCCCACCCCCACAGAATGGCACCCACCCCACCCCCCACCGAATAACACCAAAGGCTCCGGTACAAGTAGAAGATTCTGAACCATTCCATGTAACTCACAGCATAATTAACTCGTTTTTACACCAGGCAGCTTGAAGCCAGATCTTTGTGTTCCATGGACTTCTGACATATTTTACAGTTCTAACTCTCTTCCACTGTCCTCCATTAATCAAAGCTGTAACCCCTGTTGTCTTTGTACTATGGAATCAGAATGTGCCCCTGGCGAGGAATGGGGGAAAAGTCAACAGGAATTAAATTTCAGTGCAACTGTTTACTCAACTGTGGCCTGCAGATATTGAAATTTTATCCGTGGTTTTGTGTGACTACCGCAGTAATGAATTCAGCATGGCTGCGATTTTCTCAGAGCTCGCATTCTCACTTTGAGTAAAAACCTGCAGGAGAAAAATGACGAAAACCACGCAGGTCCACCAGCGAAACTCACCGTTTCTCCACACAGTTTAATTGCTGCTGTTTTCTGGGTGGCTGAAAACTCGGAGAGCTTTGGGCCCCTGGACTGTTCGTAAGGCTTTAGTTTTTTCCTCTGTCACCTAGGCATTCCCATGTCCCCCACCAACCTGTTTAGAGACTGCTCTTGCATAGGGAGTCAACGCAGCTGTGGATGTTTTATAAGGCCTCAAAAGGCTTGCCAACCACAATAAGTGGGGCTTTAGCCACAATCCTAGACCTGATGGATGCCTTTCTTCCTCAAACATATCAGTGACAAATAGACAGAAAATTGCCGTGAAATATTTATTTTCAAGTTTCAAAGTGGAATCAAAAATTGAGGACTTGAACTCTGCATGAGTGACCATTTAACAACACATTCTCCAGAAGGGCTCCAGCCCAGGTAACTAACTGGTGACTCATTATTTTTAAGAAAAAAACGCAATGGAAATGTGCTTCCAGAATGTTCTTCTATGTCATTCATGTGTCGCTGCTGATAGTGTTCTGTAGTAGGGTGGGTGTATTGAATACAGTAGGTGTATTGAACATGTAAACTTTCATGGTTACTTAAATACTTTTCGGTTGCTTGTTTAAACATTATTATTATTATTATTATGATGATGATGATGATGATGATGATGATATTTGTGTGTAAGAGAGGGAGGAGGGATTTTGAAGGCTCTGTTCTTCTCTTGCTGCTGTGTGGGTACTGGGAATCAAACTCAGGTCCTCAGGCTTGGCTTAAATACTGCTGGCTCCTTGGTTAAATACTTTAATATTCTGAATATTTGTCAGCCCTTTAGGTAAAATTCAAAAGAAGCTAATGTCCCACTAACTAAACTAACGTGCTGTGAATACAAACTATTTGGGACTCCTTAGCCCCATCTCAACCACCTCATAAAGAAATGGCTGGTCCTGACCTCCATCCTAGAAGATGGTACTCTAAGAAATATTCATCTCACCATAAACAGATGAGGATATCACACAGATGGGCATTATTGCAAATGCTCTCCTGCCATTTACTGCTGGGTTTGGCAAACAACCTCCCAAGTCAGAATCTAGTCACTGTGGATTGACTGAGGTGCTCAAATTAATACAACCAAGGGGCATGAATCCTAGCTGACAGGCGCTCATGAAAAGAAATCGAGTCACACTCCCAACCCCTCTGAACTGACTGTGTTTGTCTGCCAACCTCCCGACTTCCTGGCTTTCTTCTTCTTTCCAGGCCTTTCCCCAATGGTACCATGACCTCATGATGCATCCGCCAATATCTAATGCATTCACAGTCTACCAACTGCTTTTATTTTATTTTATTATTTTTTTTTTTCGAGAAAGGTTTTCTCTGTGTAGTCCTGGCTGTCCTGGAACTCACTCTGTAGCCCAGGCTGGCCTCCAACTCACAGAGATCTGCCTGCCTCTGCCTCCCCCGTGCTGGGATTAAAGGTGTGCACCACCACCTGGCTGACCATTTATGTTTTAATGCATGTCTGCAATTCAACTCTTTTGGAGATGGAGGTAAGAGGATCTGGAGTTCATGGCCAACTTGGGCAACATAGCCATTTCAAAGCCAGCAGCCTCAAGCTAAGTGAGAACCGGTCTCGGGAAAAGAAGATAGCAAGGACTCTTACCAAGGTCTCCAGCCCTAAGATTTTGATTCAAATTTCAAGAAAATAGTTTGAAATGTCTGTCCTTTTCCCTTATGGCATTTCCCAACATTTTCTCTATAGAAAAGTTAAAAAATTTCCCCAAGATGTTTCTTTTTTTTTTCCTCCCAAATACATGATTACAAATGGTACCACAACTACGCACAAGATAAATGAATCAAGGACAAAACCTGCCCTGTTATCAGTAGCAAAAACCCGTAATATTTCCTGATCCCGCGGGGTGGGAAACCCAATCCAGTCTTCAAGGAAATACTATTTACATTTGAATTTTGACCAACACAATACCATGTCTTAGGTCACCTGTACTACTGGGAAATGTTTCAACAGTTCCTCCCAAGGACCCACTTCCACCCTGGGAAGGGCCAAGAGGGAAAGAGACCGTCTCAAGCAAAGGACATGTTGAAGAGGCCAGGATAGGAGATCAGTTAGTCTCAAGCAAAGGACATGATGAAGAGGCCGGGATAGGAGAGCAGTTAAAACACCACCGAGATTTTAGTCAACACCATCTGCTGTCAGACTCCATGAAACCAATGCCAATGCACACACCCTAGTTCTCAGAAGTAGGAGGAAGTCATGTCCCAAACCGATGTCTGTCTTATAGACATGCGTCTGTTCTTTAACCATGTCCACTTCTATTTCTATTTGTCTCTATTTGCTTTCTTTGACTACTTCCTCCCTTCTCCCGTATCCTTATTTCTTTCATCTTTTAGCTCTGGTTTTCTTTCTCCAGAAGGTTGAAGCCCGCTTTTATTTATCTACCGTTTTATTTGTCAACTATTTACCTCAAGCATCAACAACCATTTTTTTTCCAGAGTCATCTTAATTGAACAATAGAAATGTAGGTGACATGTTGGGGGCTGGAAGAGAATGTCTCAAGGTCCACTCAACATCAAGTCTAACATCCACCATCCAGAAAGACACTTGCACCTACCAAGGACTTCAAAATGAGTCTCAGCCATGGTGAGGAGCCCTGGGTGCCTAAGAATATGCTGCCTCCAGGATGTGCCAGGTGGACGCACCTCCAACATGGACAGCGGCTCAACTCCCACTCACGACCCCAGCTCCCAGACAAGTACCTGCTGTTGCTGCTGCTGGACGTGGGCTAGGTCGGCTGCCCCCAGGTCCACCGCTGGTGCCTCCCCGTTGGACCGAGTGTCACGAAGTGCCCCACACTCTAGTAAGTGGTTGCCGCCGCTGGACCCGTTCTGGATGGCTGATCCGTTACTTTTTGTCTCAGACCCAGATTCTTGCATCATGACTCAAAAACCTGAGAGGATTTTCAGAAGAGGGGGTGACAGAGAGAGAGAAGTGGGGGGGGTAAGGAGGGGAAGAGAGAAGGGGGGAGAGAGAGACAGCTGTTAAAACAGTTGCTGTGGAGGACGAGAGGAGTGCTGCCTTGCCACGTTGCTGAACTCTGTAAGCGGTCGTCAATCTCCCTCACCCCTCTCTTCCTTATCAGAAGACTGGTCCCCTACTTTAGCACTGGGGGCTGTCACTCTCAATTCAACTTCTAGTATGGTTTCAAATACATCATCCTTTCCCTCTCTGGGAAAATAGATGGGTTCAGGTGATCCGAGGAGAATTCAGCAGTCAGTTTTTCTGATGGGATTCAGATATTTTGCCAAAGAAACAAAACACTTTAAGTTATCACGCAAGTTATAAATTTAAATATTATCAGGCTCAGACATTTTATGGCAATGCAACATTCTCAGAGAAGAAATATTCTCCAACGACAGTCTCTCAAGTGACAAGACACATTAATTACTACAAGTCCCCCCAAGGGAATCAGGCTGAAAACCTACAGTCAAACACCACAAGCATTTTAAGGATTCTCAATCCTTGGTACCATCTGGGCAGTTCAAAATTGGTTGGTCCTGTAAGACAGGCCACTTCTAGAAAGAGAGAGGGGCAAAAGGGACTTCCCATGTCCAGAGTGAATGAATTCAGACTATGTTGTTTTATAGCTAAGGCTCTCAGAAGAATCATAGTCAATGCTAACTTTTCTCCTGTAGATGACTGAACTCCAAGGTGTGTAAGGGCTGATATTTCAGGGGGATCCTTGTACTCTTCATTTTGGAGAGAAGTGCTGCCTAGAAAGACCACAGAAAAGGTCAGAAACTTCAAGTCCTAAGTGTAAGGCTTGGATACAGCTCAGTGGTAGAACACTTGCCTAGCTTATGTGGGATATGGGGTTCACACCTCAGCACTGCCAATAAGCAAACTACTTAAATAAAATACTAAAGTATTAAAATGTCTACTAGGAAAATATAGTATAAAACAAATAGAGAAAAATCTGTTGTCTCCTCTTATTTGTAGGTTTTTGTTTTTGGTTTGTTTGCTTGCTTGCTTGCTTGCTTGTTTTTGGAGATAGGGTTCTATGAAGGAGGCCAGGTTGTCTTTGAACTCACAAACCTTCTGCCTCAGCCTCCCGGGTGCTGGCCTTAGAGGCAAAGACCCCAACACTACGTCATTCCTGTTGCTCCCTAAGCACAAAAACCATTCCCTGGGGGAGCCAGTTTAGGTACTCAACCAGGACAAAACCTATCTTCTGATCACCGGTATTGTGCTAGGCTCTCCACAGTGCAGATGATTCCTGTGTGCTCTGTAGTTCCCAGGAACAACCACCAGTTCCACTTAGTAGAGAAGAGAAGGAGGCTTGGGATGGGGAGATGGATGGCTCAGTGGGTACAAGCACTGGCTACACATGCCTGGTGGCCTCAGCTCAGATCCTCAGAACCCAGGTAAGAAGTGGAGTCAGTAGGACAAGCATCTCTGTGTTAGGAAATGGGATTTGGAGATAGGAAAATCTTCATATACATGGACCAGCTAGTCTGGCTTGTGCGCCAGTGAAACAGCCCTGTCTTACGTTAGAATGGCTAGGGCCAGCATCTGAGGGTTGTCCTCTGACCTCCAAACATTCACAGTGACATGCATGTGTCTACACTCACGCCCAGCCTCCAACACAGGTAAATTCCAGAGGGGGGTGGGGAATGAGGCCTTGTGAGATATTCTCCATGTCCACTGTGCCCCGGCTAGCCACAGCGGGCACAGGAGAGGAACAACCACTCTCCTTTGATGGCTGGCCTCTCACTTGCAGGAGCATGTTTTCTGAAGGTGAGGTACAGGGTCACAAGCCAAGTTCACAGACCAGGACTTGCAAAGGAAGAATATTAGTCACTAAAGGAAGGAGTCAGCTCAGACATCAAAGCTGAGAAATGCCTAAATAATTAAGACTTCAATGTGCATTCCCAATGCCAGACAAAACAGAAAATATTTCATTCAAATTACCCATAGGTACTACTACTACCTATTTCTTTCCCACTGCACGCGATACATAACCACATCAAAACTGAAGCATGCTGGACCCCTTCAGGAGGCTGTGCTTTTGTTAAAAACCACCAGAGGTCGGTTCTCGGCAACTTGCCTGACAAGCAGACAGAAACACGACCACTGCCACAATTCCCATCTCATCCATTTGCAGTGCGGAGTCTCTAGCAGCTACAATGTGAAGGTCAGGAACCCAAAGCTGTATTTGGTCAGTTAGTCCCATTCTCAAGAAGATGGAGAATGGCGCTGCGTGTTCATGGGTGTGCAACAACAGGAGACGGTGTTTGTCTCTTTGGATTGGACTTTCTAGTAATTACTATCCTGTAGAAACCGCCTGCTCTGCCTTACCTCCCACTGTGGACAGAATCTACCAAAACAGAACGCAAGGAAACATCTTCTGTCTCAAAACACCATGTGCTAAAGCCTCAGGGTTTCTTTCCTAGTGCTTTAGTTTCTATGCCATACCCATACCGTTCATATGTTTGGACACTTAAGAGAAAAGGTTTCAGGCTGGATGCAGCTGAGAGGTACAGCAGGCATCCTGAATGCCCCTTGCATGTCCTAAGTCAAGCCCCCATACTGTAAAACAACAAGGGAATAGATAGAAGTCTCAAGGTAGTCAGCAATAAAATCCGTATTATTATTAGTTATGAAAAGAATACCTAAATAAAAGAAATGCTTCCCACCTTCTGGAAAGTCTGCCTATGCCCAGGAATAGACTCCAAGGACAGGCAAGTTGCCCTTAGAAGCACTCCCACCTACCCTCAGACAGGAGTGCACACAGATTCTGTCCTTACGGAACAGAACTATGTAAGTGCTGCCTTCCAGGGACGTGACTCTGGGGATCCAGGACTGAGAGCAGGTGTCTAAAAGCCTGTCCCTCCTTTTGTTTCCTGGGTTGACACCATCATGGTAGGTGGAGTGAAAAAACCACCTCTGATGCACAGTCTGAAGAACAGCTCTCCTCTGTGCTGCGCAGCTCCAGAAAAGACTGCAAAGTCCTCCAGTACACGTTGGGCAGGCCTGCGGCCAAGCAACTTGGCTCATGAATTGGGTTTGTGAGAGTTCAGACTTTGGGACTAAAACCGTATAAAGGATTATTTTGGTCTAAGGATGTTCCTTAGTTAGTCAAGTGCTAACTGGAGCACATGGGCTGGAGGACTTTTAATTGGTACAACACCAGTCGGGGGAAAACAGCTTCATGAAATCCCATGTGGAATATGAGAAGTTTGGGTGTCTACAAGTGTTTCTGACACTGTCTGGGCCAAGAGTGTTTCTATCAAACATCCCAGACCAAGTAGTAAGCTTTTATATCTCCATATCAAACCCCATGGTACATTTCTCAAACTCCCAAATCCCCATTTCAGAGACAAGAAAACTGGTACTCAGTTGATTCGGGGACAAATACAGCCACAGAGACTCTCCATTTGAGACATGAGCTCAAGAAATGATCAAGACTTCTTTCTTCCGAGAGTCCCTGGCTAAGTGATGATCAATGAGGACATCAAGCAGGAGGAACTAAATTCTAGCAATGGCAAGAGGACAGCAGGTGGATGAAGAAAAGGTCTTAAAATACACAGAGGGAAAGTTCTGGAATGTTTTAGGAAGCAACTCTCTCTTTTCCTATTGACTTCACACTGTCAGTAGAGGGCAAGTACAGGGCCTGGAGAAGCATGGAGCTCTGCACTCTCTGTTCTTAAGAGGGGGTTTGTCCCAAGAATGTGGTCTGCTTAACTTGTGCTCCTCTTCTGGAATAATCCCTTACAAAGAATCATCCTGCCTCAGGATGAACTGAAAGTATGACCCACGCTCTAAGTGTCTACGGTACTTGAATTAGAGGATCATGTATGTATATGGAGGCTTCAGCCACCTTGTACCCATCAATCTGTCCATTGTTAAGAATGGGGCCAAGCCCATTGCCACTTCTCTTTCTTTCTCTCTTCTGCACATGACCAGGAGCTGCTCAAAGTATCTGACTGTTACCCTGGGACCCTCCAAGGCTGACACTGCCATCACATAGCTGTCAGATGCATAAGGAAGCCCAAACCATACACTTGCCACCTCGCTTGGAAATACAACAGAGATACCAATTTCACAGGCTCACTTTTTTTTTGTTAGGGAACTTTTTAAAAATAATAAGAACTGGGTCTCACATGCTTATTTATTGTTGTTGCCAACAGAACTACTCTGTAGAAACCTTCTGGAAAATTCATAATGTCCAGGCCAATGTATTTATAGTAAATTAAAACACAGCTTTATTATTATGATTATTTCCTTGGTTACAGTGTTGATGCTGAAAATTTAGGGAAAATAAAGCCCTTGTTATCACGCTTGTGAAAGATTTTAAGCTAACAGAAAGTTCAGTCTTGATTCCAGGGCAGTTAATTAAGGTTGACCAAGTCAGGCAGAAGTAAATTAACTTGGCTGATCAATTATTTATATGAAGCAGAATAAATGCCCTTAAAGAACTTGGTCTGTTCACAAAGGGATGTGTAAATTAAACCAAACAGAGTTTTGTAAAATATGTTTCTACCGCTATGGGGAGAAGCGAAGTTAGAGGTAATGCCACTTTCAGGACAATGAGCAGAGGGGCTAAGTATCACAGTCCCTCTCTGTGCCAAAGGGACAAGCCTCCTCCTCACTGCATAGCCACATGCAGAGAAGGAAGGGATGGGGAGTGCCATGTTAAAGAGGACAAGGGCTAGGGAGGGAGGGAGGGAGGGAGGGGCCACGAATGTTAAGATTCCAGAAACAGTAAACATGTATCTCTCACTTTCTCATCAGTTACTTAACAGTCTGGAGGTTGGCAAAGCAAAAGTGGGGTGGTGTGGGGTAGGGTGGGGTGGGGTGGGGCGGGCTAGTTTTGATTCTGGACTTTTTAATTACTCATACTGTATCAAGATTTTAAAATCTTTCATAATCTTGCATCAAGCATTCAGG